ACATCGCAGGGTTACCTGCTATCTTGGCTTGCCGATCTGGGAATGTCCAGTGCAGCTTGGGGATTAATCCCTTTCAGCTCTTTTCAAGCACAGAAAATCAGAGACATCCGTTTCTCATGCGGTCTGGGAAGTACCCCTAGGTCGCCTTTCCCCCAGCTGAAAGCTGGTCCATAGGGCCAGAAAGGCTCTGGGGTGGTTTGGGCTTGGGAGGGTTCCAGATTCGCGGAGGGTCGGCCTCTGGAAGTGGGGAAGTGACATCTTTCCCCCTCATGGCACACCCACCCCCATATCTTGATGCAGAGGCGGGCTCCCAGAGGAAAGGATCTTTACGCTTCGGAGAGTACCCGGAGAGGAGTACTCCCTTCAGAACCTGCACTCGTGTAGAGGGGTCGTGACCCGGGACAAGACGCACACTGTCAGTTCAAAGCCCAGAAGTGGATCAGTGTCTTTGTTAGAAATCGGAGCCTCAAAATGGTGGCTTTCCTTTTGGTCCTTTGTCCTCACCTTTCCCCCAGGCGATGCCTGTGTTCAGAATGGGGAACCTAGAACTTTTCGATCTCCCTTTAAACCAACCTGAAACGGGTACCAGCTCAACAGAAACACGCACCCATTTCAGGGGTGGTTTACTCCAGGAGAAAGCAACACCCCCTACTCCCAAGATGATTGAACTATGATATATTTCTTAGTCACGCAAACACAGCATACGCCCCCTATTCCCCCACCCCCCCCCAAAAAAAAAACACAAAAAAAAAGAAACAAACAATAGAAGTAAAGAAAACGCAACAACATCAAAACAAAGGTGTACCTAGAGTCTCCGTGACCCTTCAAAAATGGGTCAATGACCCCATTATTTTGGGTAACGACCCCTTTTTTCAAGGGTCAGAAGGAGACTCCAGGTACCGGTGAGAGAGTGAAGCGTGCGCTTGAGGACCAATTTGCGCTTCAGCTGCGACTGCTTCTTGAGATCAAGTGCTCGAAGCCGCGGAACGAGGCGCGGGGTATGTCGAGACGGCACAGGGATCCACGGGGCACTGGCCCCAAACGGCTGTGGGTCAAGAATACGTACTCAAAAATGAAACCCTGGTAAATGGAACCAAGGTCATTCACCCACCTGGCCACCATCTCCTTTTGGAGGACCCGATTTTCTTTTGGGTTCCGTGGTTCATTTGTAGGAAAGTACAGGGGTTCATTCTTGGATGTTCCATACAGGGATTGTGTATCCCTTCAACCAGGGCTAAAGGATTCAATTCATATCCCCCAAAAGGATCCATGAAGCTTCGCAGTGGGCCAAATTTGATCCACCTGGATAGCCAAGTTGCGATCGCTTTGGTCAGTCACTCTTAGTGGTTTCTGGGGTTTTGAGTGCACGGGGAAAAAAGAAAAAAGATCGCCACTGGCGATCCAGGCAGGGAGTTGTGTATCCCTTCACAGGGCGCCTTAAAAGATCTCCATTTTGCCCATCTGAAACATGGCTTTTCCCACCAAAAGAAAGGGAAACCAGCATTGACAAGTTGCAATGTTCAGGTGTACAATGTAAGGATCCCTGCTTCAACCAGGGGTTAGTACCCATGGTGATCAGGCAGGCCACTAGATATGCATTTCGTATGGTTTTGAAGGAATGGTTTGTTTCTTTTACCTACAAAACCAAGACCGTATCACAGGAATGGAAGAAATCGCCTCTGGTTGAGAGAGCAAGAGGAAAACCTTTCTGGCAGGGGCCTGCTGGGCCCCGAATTGGACGCCATGTTTGGTTTCACCTAGTGAGTGGTTCGCCACCTGGGTTATAATTTCACAAATATCAGGGTTATCCCCACCCAGGAAGCCTTATAAGTGGGATACTGTACCAAGAACTGGCTACTTCGCCAGACATCTACGTGCAGAAAGAGAAACTCCTTCTGTTTTTTGTTTCACTCCTTGCCGCTAAGCGCGTGCCAAAAACCCCCGGCGATCGATCAGGGACGGGTCAGTTTTCCTGATTTGCCCTTGACTCCCCTTGCTCTCGACCGTTTTAGTACGGGGGACCCACTCGTGTTTCGACCAACCGCCTTGTGCTTTCTGTTATGGGGCACTTGGCTTTTTGGTGTGGCTTTTTGTTTTCTTTTTGGACTGTTGCAGTCTCAAGTTTGTTTAACCCCAATTTGCGGCAGTTCACTGGACTAGCGCGGCTCGTTGCATCGTGTTGTCTAGCGAGTTTTTTGCCTACTAGTGGTCGACTCCTGCCTAGTTGTGACCTAGAGTTGGTTCCCTGTATGTGTTAGAGGGTCACTAGAGTTAAATGTGTTTTGTTGTTGAACACAATGAAACTCAACTTTATGCGAAAGTCCAAACAGCCAGTCCAGACAGCCGAAAACCAAGCGGTCAAGTCGGAAAAACTGTTTGGGTTTGAAGAAACAAAATCCCCCTTAGTGGTAAACCACAAGTTGTTTTCTTGGGCAACCCATCGAGAGGTGAGTATACTCACTGTGGTGGCTTACACTCATGTGTCAAGGGATCTGTACCCTCAAAATCGTGGTCTCCCAGCTTTCCAAACCACCAAGAAAATGGTTCATGTCATGTCACCGGGATAAGAAGCCCCTGGTTGATTTTGATCGGCACAGAGTGGGGGGGGTCCTAGTGGGAATTCTGAAACCGCTTTGGGTGGCACGACACCTCACTCACTCACTTCCTGAGTTCATTAACTTTAAACTTTTTGGGAAGACCGTTTTAGTTGTAAATATACAGTTTGGACTTTTTTTGAGCCATCCACTCAGCCAGTGGGCTCAAATTCTACGAATCGCTCCCGGAAGGCTCCTGGACCTGTCACCCGCTCGGCGCACCTGGCCCCTGTGATGGGGGACCTGTCCGCGGGCACCGAAGGAGCGCCGATTCTTCGGGTAAATTGGGGCCATGTTTCGTATCCTACTGTGGATGGACGAAAACCTACATCAATTTAAAACAATGGGAAGCCATTGCTTGTTGGTATTTATAGGGGAATCCTTCTTCCAGGGTTTCTTAGGTGGTGCAGCCCATCCGCAGTCCTACTACTTTTCCAGAGGCATTCTCTTCACCAACTCGTTCACTTTAATGGATAAAGCATGTGCGAACAGCTTCACGTATATGTTTTGATGAATTGTCTTATTGCTAGACTCACGATGAAAGAACGTGAGGCTCTATGGGAAGTGAATCCCGAATCCGAGTCGAACAGTACATGCTCAATCCGGGATGAACGGACTTTCAACATGTGCAAACACACATGTATAGTGAGATAGAAAGACGAGTACGACAACAGCACGGTTTTCATGCAATTTCTAAATGGGGGCCGTCCGCAATTGCATGTACAAAACTTATGAACAGCGGCAACTTGTTGAACCGCGCGATTGGGAAAAGTAATGATTTCCAAAATAACAGAATTCTAAAGAAGAAGTAAAGAGAAATAGAAAGTGTCTTTATGGAAAGGATAGGATTAATACACACAGCATATTTGATTAGGATTATAAAGTGCGTTTATTTTCTTTCATTTGGTATCTTTATCCTGGTTCCTTTCCTTTTGGTTACTTCTTTCACCTTTTTCGTCTATTTGTCAAGTATTTTTCAGATGAAAAAGATAAGGTGAAAGAAAGAGAAAGGGAAGTTGAGGGAAATTCCTTCATCCGATAGTTCCTCTTGGATGGCTCAAGCCGCAAAAGGCCGGCGATTGGACCGTTTAGATTGAGGTGCCGACGCACGTCTCGCTTATTTTGTCTGCACGGGCTCGCAGAAAAGCTCCTGGAGAGCTGAATGTCGATTTGGCCTCGCAGGCCTGGGCTGTGGTTTCTAACTCTGCTTCCTGGCAAAGGCTGGAAGCTGCAAACCGAAGTTTCACCACCGAATTCCGCGGACCGCGGTTGGGCGATTGGACGGCGATGGGACGAGTTTCACCTGTGAGCCCCTGCCCATCCGAGCTATGTTACTTACTTCAGGTATGGATGGAGGAAAGCCAGCGCATGAGATAAGACAGCGAAAAGCGAAACAGAAGCAGCAGCGATGACCAACGTTGCTCCGCGATTGGACCCTGTGGGATCGCGATTGGATCGCGATTGGCCGGCGATTGGGGGCTCCCCAGACAAAGTAATTTTGTACAACCCGCAAATGATCATTGTGAGAATTTCCAACATCCACTACGACTACGTCTAAAATACAAGTTCATGAAGAAAGATAAGATACACATGTGCAAATGAGACTAACAACTACCCTCCCACCAAGGAACATGGAACCTGGCAGGGATACCTTGAAAAGGAAAATGGTCTTCCAAGACCCCCCTGCCAGGCTCCACGACAAAACATAATCAGAACCCGGTATTAAAATTGTCTACCCAGAACCATGTAAAGAATTAAGAAGGCGGCCGCAGCTGTTTATGGTTGGGAGTATCCCTTAATTACTAACCTCCATCGCCAGGGTTTTGATTGTGGCTTGCAGGGCAATTGTGTGGCAAGAAAAAATAGCAAGACATCATACTTGGCGGCCCTTAACTGGGGATCAGCAAGCAGGGTGTTTGATAGGCAATTTGCGGACGGAGAGGTGCGATGTGATGCAGCGGGAGGGATCCAGAGAGCGATTTGGGTGGACGGGATCCGGGGCGGACCGATGAGAAGCAGCGGGAAGGATGGGGCGCCCTCCATGTTCTTTCCACTCGCCTTCCTTGAGGCCCCCACTTGCTAGGGGGAGGTAGGCAGCTTCTCTTTGGCTTCTACATGATGGTGCTGCCGGGCTCGCTATGGTGTTTTTGGCGGGATCGCAAAGCTTGAAAAACGCGGGCGCTTTGATTGGGTTGCGTTCCCGGGCACAGCTTCTTCTGTATAGCGCTATTTACGCCATCTGGGTATGGGTCAAAGTTAAACCACCTGGGGGCCGCAGGGTTTAGTCCATGTTTCCACTTCCCAGGGCTCCATTTTGGGAGTGAAGTTTTTCTGAGCAGGAGCACCAACATTAATCTCGAGAGTTCCTGACATAGGATCCATGCCGCTCTCTCCCGTTGGCGAGTTCAATCGAACCATCAGCCCCGGCATGGGCTCGATTACCATGTCCTCCATGGCCAGTGACGCGGTGACCTCCAACGATGTGGTGGAATTTGGCGTCAAGGTGATGACTGAAGCCCAGCGGATGTGGCTGTGGGCGGGTCAAAGCCGTTTTGGGATCCCATTTTGGTTGGTTGGTGAATTCACCAACCATTTTAGAACAGGGATTTTAGTGGGGATTGGGATGTTCGCTGGGGGTACGATTTGGATTTGAACCCATGGCCATGTGTTCTGGAGACTTTTTGGTTGAAAAGCTCCATGTAACGTCAACCAGCCAAAGAGAGCAGCCCCAGTTTGGCTTGCATCGAACCCCCCCCTGGCTGAGGAACCTACCGAGCAGAAGGAGCACAAGAAGAAGGCGCTGACATACAAAAATGCAAGTTGGCTTGGGCTTTTGGGAAATGCTTGACAGGCAAAGAACACTGTTTTCAAGGGTTTGTGCTCAGTCAGCAGAGACAACACAAACTTGGGGAGAACCTTTTTCCAGACGAGGTGCTCAAATGAGGGCCTCCCCCAAAACGAGCGGGATTTCCATTCCAAATGGTAGAAGAAAGTGCGTGTTCCTCAAGCAGTCTCCATTGCTGGTTGACTCAGGCCTACGAAGCTCAAGAGAGGTCGATCAGGCAGCTCACGCCGGTGCCATGCGGCGAGGAGGATGAGCAGGCAGGTGTTCCAATTTCGGTGTCCAAAGTGTGGCATGGTTCAGGCCTTCCACATCCTAATGTGTCCGTTTGCCCCTTTGCCCGTTCGGGTCTCTCCTGGATGTTTCCCCGTTTGCCCCTTTGCAACAGCTCAACTTGCTCGGGTCGAAGGGCAATTCTGGTTAGTGGGCCTGCCTGGATTCAGGTTGCAACCAGCCCAGGGTTGGTTGGGCTCACAGTTCCCAATCCTTCCAGTGACCACTACTATAGCTCCTGGTTTCCCAGCATAGCGGCAACCCCCGAGCCGGAAAAAGGGCCAAATGTTGATCCATCCTTCTTCTCGAAAAGCTGTTTCTCCCGAGTTTGGGTGGCTTTCCAGATGAATCCCTGGAAAATCGGGAAGGTACCCCCCCATGTTCCCAGAAGCGACCTCCGGCGCGAGGTGGCCCCGCGCTGGAAGGACATCCCTGGCATCATCGTGAACTCCACCGCCTTCCCCATCTTCATCCAGCGCCTAGCCGGATGTGCGAGCGAGAGCCAGCCGACTTGTCTCAGGAGCCAAGGGCGCGGCCTTTTTTGTTTGCCTTGAAGAAGGAATGGGGGGTCAAAAAGAAGGAGGAGGGTCAAAACAAGGAGGAGGGTCAAAAAAAAGGAATGGGGGGTCAACAAATTTGTGTATCCCCTTTCTTTATTGGTGACTACGAAACTCAAGGCAAAGAAAGAGTTGCACAGGTCTACCATTTTCACTGGCTTTCTGTGTTGCCAAAAAATGCGAGCCACGCCTTTCTTTCTTGGGTTTTCTTGGGCCATCCCGATTTGTTTGGATCCTGATAAAGTAGAGTGCGCAAACCCCAAGCGTTGGGCCCTTTTTCCTTGTTGACCCCAGAAAATCCTCCGCCCCGCTTCACGACCGGTTCGCACTCCGTTTAATTCATCCGTGCCTCACGCTCTTGGCACCCTTTGGCGTCAAGGGGTGACCTTCCAAGTGGCGAGTAAAAGTCTTGTCCGGCAAAACGAGTTTGCTGTTCGCTCAGGCAAAAACCCGATGGATGTGGGTCTGCCCTTTTTTTCGGACGCCCCATTTTTGGTTGATGCCAACTACCCAGAGGCTGGGGCTTTCAATGGAAGACCCGACCTCTCCATTAGACACCCTGGTGTTTGGGGGTCTCAAGACCTGGCCGTTTGAGGGCCCTGAAATACATCGCTTGCCTTTGGGCCTTCCTCCAATCGCAGCTGATCGGCGTGTGGCCCTTTTTTGAATGGAGTCATCCGATCTTTCCAAATGAGTCGCCGCCCTTTTCTTGTGCGCAATCCCGGCGTCTACTTCTGACCCTTTGAAATGGTCGCCCAAAATTAAAAGATGGGTCACCCCTTTTTCTGGGGGTCTTGGAGACTCCAGGTACTTACTAAAGTAGGTGGAAAATCCGTCAAGACCCGATCGTCGCAAGAACTTGGCTTTTGCAGGACCCCCCCCTTTTGGGTTCCGTTTCTAATTTGTAGGACAGCAAAGGGGTTGATTCTTGGCTGTTCCACCCGGTAGACACCTAGATAGCCAAGTTGCGGCTTTTTTCAGCCTTTGTTGCTGGTTTTTGGGGTAAAGTGCATGGAAAAACAAACAAACAAACAAACAAACAAACGAAAACAGCAACTGGCGATCCAGGCAAGTCGAATTGTTGACCGCCCCCAAGGTAGTCCCGGTAATGTTGACCCAGGATTAATAAACCTGTCCCACGTGTTCCAACTCCAAAAGTGGTCTGAATCCCCACTAAAAGGAATTGGACACCCCCCGATGAAAATCAGCCAGGGGTTTATTAATCCGGGGTTAACCTTAGCGCTTCCTCATCTCAGGTTTGTGATCTTGGCGAACTTGCTGGTCCTGGGCCTGGAAGTCGACACCGCGGCCTCCGTGCCGTCACAAGACATGCCCGGCTGGTTCGAGGCTCGAGGGAAAAAAAAGAAAAAGCTCAGGTGATATCCCCAACAGCATGCGGTGTTCTTTTTAGTGCTCGCACCACCCCGTAGCCCTCGCAGAACCTCGTGGAACCCTGGTGGAACCCTCGTGGAACCTTGCCTCAGGGCCGCCCCGGACCACCCCGGAGCCTATCTGGGCTCAGACCCCGCTTTGCTTTCAGCTGTTGGGGAAAAACAAAAACAACAGAAAGCACGAGCCGAAGCGAACGCGAAGGAAGTACGTCACTACTGTGGATGGACAACAACGGGATGTCTCAGATTTATCCGATGGGAAAGCGAGACAGGGAGAGGGAGAGAGAGAGAGAGAGAGAGAGATAGAATGGACAAAGTTTTGTTGCATTTTGCTTGGATGTTAGGACTTTAACTTGTTGCCAACTAATGGGTTTTCCATTAAGCCACTAAAAGTTAAACTTTTAGCAGGGAGCAGAAAGCAAATGAGATGTTCGATGCCTATCAGGTCTCGACATTGTTTCATGAGACGCATCTTTGGCTCTTCTGCTTTACGGTTTTGGGTTGAATCATTGCGATCTCGACGATATCCTTTGGGCTCCTCCAACATGGAACTTAAGGTAGACAACGTATGAACCAACAATTAAGCAAATGTTGTTTGTACCGAGTTGTGCAATCTCCCCACCTCAGGCCAACAAACTAGCAGACGGGTAGACAGAAAGCATTTGTTTGGGCGCGTGCTTCGGCGAGCGCATGCAAAGACAACAAGGCAGTCTTGCACTTTGCACGTAGGCGAGGTCTATACAAAAGGCAGCTGAAGAGAAAAGCAGACGCTGTGTGCTTTGTGAACCCAAGTTCACGCACCTAGCTGCGCGACGCGAGTCCCCGCAAAGGGTTAGCACAGGCCCTCAGCTTCACATCGACTGCCCCGCAGAGGGCTCGTCATTTTCGCAGGGGTGCGGTCCCACCGCGCCGCCTATTTCAGATCACCGTGCAAAGTTTCTCACGCAAGCGGGCTCGTGCGATCTTGCGCCCGTGCAAGTGCCCGCACGTGTAAGTCGGCTCCTGCGAGTTTGCTCGTGCAAGTGCGCTCGTGCAAGTGCGTTCGTGCGAGCGCACTCGTGCAAGTGCGCTTGTGCAAGTGCGCTTGTGCAAGTGTACTTGCGCAAGCACAAGTGCACTCGTGCAAGTGTGCAAGTGCGCTCGTTCTAGCGTGCTCCTGCGAGTTTGCTCGCGCAAGCCGTGCTCCTGCGAGTGTGTAAGTTTGCTCGTGTGGGCGGCCTAGTGGCAGTTGGCTGGCGACCTTTTTTTTTCCGGAAGCCTTCTCAATGCTTTCGGGAACCGGCCACCCCTCGCTGTGGTGTTCACTTCGCTACAACCCGGACCCATTTGCTTGAACCCAACCCGATGAGCTTCAAACAACACAACTCGATGGTGTCTTTTTTCAAAGCCCAACACTTTAGCAGGGCTCCTTAAAAGATCTCCAATTGAAACATGTTGCTTTTTCAACATTTCAATACAAAGTTGGAAACCACCATTTCAATACAAGGTTCAGGTGTATAATGCATCCGGATCCCTGTTTCGATTTCAGAAACCAAACCGCAGGTGGCGAACTATGTGATCGTCTTCGTGTTCACTGCGGAGCTGCTCTTGAAATTCATGGCACTCGGAGCCTCAGCTGCACCGGATCCAAGCCTCCTCCCAAACAAAGAATAACGCGGTGATCGGTGGTGACTGCTGGTTTCCCAAGAAATCTAGACCCAAAAAGGAGGCCCTTGAAAAGCACACACACACACATCCTTCTTTGTTTGGGTGGCTCGGTCAAAATATGCGTTCTTCCGTGGTCTGGGAAGCACGGCTACGTTTCCAGGTTTTTGCGCCCATGAAACTCTGACAGTGGCACATTTGGGTGCGTGTGTAGGTGTGTGTGTGTGTGTGTGTGCGTGCGCGCGCGCGCGCGCGCGTTGTTTTGAGGGTACCGTTGTTTTTTTGGGGGCGGTTTCAAAATGCAAGCCATAAGGAAACACACCAATTTGGTTGATTTCTTGGCTATGCTTGGACCCCCATTTTGGGGCCCGGTTGCTGGCCTTTGGCCTTCCGGCTTATCAAAGCTTTCGCCTGAGGATGCCGGAAGTATTTCTGCAGCTCAGACCGGACTTGGAACCTCTTGGACCTCATCATCGTCTCCGTTTCGATCTTGGAGTGCGGTGTTGACCTCGTGGCAAAAGCGGGCGGCCCAGTCACGAAGCCGATGGGGCCTCGCATTCTCTTCCCAGCGTTTGTGTTTTGTTTTGTTGTTTAACAAAAAAATGAATAAATATGGTTGCTTTAATTTATTTATTTTATGTGACGGGCTAGAGTCGCGACGAAGAAAATAGTAGCAAAGGGTGGAGTCGCGGAGTTTCCCACAACAACCCGGCGCCATGGGCCAGGGGGCCATAATGGTTGAGCGATGTCGGCGAAGTGCCCAACATGACAGAGGCGTCTCGCAAGAGCCAAGCCTTGGGGCAAAAGGGGTGCCCTAGATGGCTCAGGGTTGCTATGGTTGCAAGGTTTCCCTATGTTCCCCAGGTGTCCCCTTGGATAGTAACGGGAGAAAGGGGATGGCAACCATCAGGCATTCCACGGAATAAGGAGAGTTACAGTCCTGCAGAAAGGTGTTTTTTAATGGTGGCTTGTTCATCATCAGTGCTTCCAGCCAGTATATACAGTATACAAATGGGGAAACCATCGTTCTGTATGGGCGTTGATCCATATTCCTGGCCCCCAAATGACCATGGGTGACTTTTTCTATACCTCGACCAGCATTCGAACGACAATCTGGACCCTCAAACTACCCCGAGAAAAAAAAAGAAAGATTTCACCATATTTTTGGGGCACTCACCCATTTTCTTTCTGTCTGCGTGGGAGGTCTTCACCCATTTTCTTTCTGCCTGCGTGGGAGTTCTTCTTGAAAGCAGCTAGGTGCCCTTGTACCGTTTCTTTTTTGGGGGAGGGTTCCCCTACTAAAATCGACTACAGCAAAAAAGTGGGTACCCTGATTCCAAGCTCGGACCTAGTCAAGAAAGATTTGTTATATGTTTTTTTCTGCCTGCATGGGAAGTCTTAGAAGGTACACCAGTCTACATGGAGGATTGATCACCTCCCCGAGGCTACCTCCGGCAGCGCGGAGATGAACAGCAGCCACCTGCGGGCCATGCGCCTGGCGCGCCTGGCGCGGACCTTGCGGGGGGTGCGCATCATCCGGCTCTTGAGGCACCGGAAAGTGGGGAGGGGGGAGGGGTGGGGAGGTTGGGGTGGGAAGGGGAGGGGATGGGGAGGGGTGGGGTGGGGAGGGGAGGGGCGTGGGTTGGGGGGAGGGGTTGGGCTGGAACCCTTGCAGTGCCCAAAACCTCCGACCGTTTCAGTACCTCCACACCTTCTTTAAAAAAAGTATGTGTCTGTGTGTGTGTGTGTTTTTTAGGGGACCCCAAAATGGTTGATTTTGCTTTTGGTGTTCCTTCAAAGCGACCCCAAACAGGGTACATCAAAAAGACACCCCACATATCAACCTTTCTAGCCGTCTAAGAGCCAAGCTCACTTGGCTGTCTCGGTTTTGCATGGATTTGGATGCATGCTAGGATTGCATGGATTTGGATGTATGCTAGGACCCCTGCTCTTGGTTGCCTATTTTGCAACCCGACCGATGCACAACGCTCAGCAGCTTCTCCCAATATTCCAAAAATTCATGCATTTGCATTGGCGTTGTGTGTGAGTGTTGTCCATCCTTCCCAGCATTTTGAGGGTTCAAACTGTCTTCTCCTAACCTGCTGAGCTTTCGGATAAGGGGGGTTTTCAGTGGAATTTCATCCCTTTCCCCAGCCGAACACTTTGTCGCCAAGTGGCTTGGAAAATAGGGCAGGGTTCCAGGGCGTCCTGGCTCCTATTCCTCCATTTGCTGAAATGAATATTTTTTGCCCTTGGGTTTAAAAGGAGTTCATCACTACTGGACATACCTGGGAATCCCAAGGTGTGTAAAATTTCCGCCTTTTGAACGAAAACTGCTTTTTCAGTCTGGGAACATGAATTTCTGCCTCCAGGCGTTTTTGGTGGAAACTGACTTTTTGCAAGGTCAAGCTGGTCGACTGGTTTTTACCAACGGCGTTTTTCGCCAATCAAACGGCGTTTTTTGGCGATCAAACGGCGTTTTTGGCCGTTCACAGCAGTCCTTGAATATTGACGAATTGCTCCAACGGCGTTTTGGGGGACAAAAAGCGTTTTTTTTGCAGCAACAGCGAAAAATAGTGCAATTTCAATCAGCGGCAGAAATTCAGCACCGCCGGGCTTTCCAGGTATTTTCTATTTTTTTCCTGGGGCCTTGGTGCATTGTGGTGCATTTTGTTTGGATGTTAAGACTTCAAATTGTTGCCAACTAATAAGTTTTCCATGAAGCCACTAAAAGTTAGTCACTTTTAGCAGGGGAGCAGAAAGCAACCAAGTGGCTAGGTACATCAGCTCCCTGCGCACCATCATGATCTCCATCGTCAGCACCATGGGCTCGCTCTTCTGGACGCTGGTTTTGCTGGTGCTCGTCTTCTACACCTTTGCGGTGACTGGGACTCACTCGCCGATCACCCCATCATTTTGGGTAATGACCAACCATTCTTCAAGGATCATGGAGACTCCAGGTAGGTGTGTTTTTTATCTTTTCTCAGAAGGAGTTGAGCCAATTCTCCAGGTCTTCGATGTCCCCTCTTGCAGTTTTTTTGATCCAGAGGGGCTTAGGTTCTTTTTCTCAGAAGGAGTTGCACCAATTCCAGGTCGATTCGATGTCGCCTCTTGTCGCCAAAAAGGACACCCACAGGCCACCGGGGTTTCTCAACCCAAAATTGCATGGGAAACCCGGTCGCCTTTGCCTGGAAGCACTGAATAGGATAATGAATATCACGATCGTCTGACACACCAACGGTTCTAGAACGTGTTTGTAGTAATTCCGTTTATTGTGAGTAACAGCTTGGTTCCAGAATACATGGTAACCACGGGCCGGTTACCCGCTGTAATTAGGGGTTCCCAGGAAGCGCTGGGTAACTGTACCAAACCTTTGGTGCATTTTGCTTGGATGTTAGGACTTTAACCTTTTGCCAACTAATGATGGGTTTCCCATTAGACCACTAAAAGGTAAACTTTTAGCAGGGGAGTAGAAAGCAACCGAGAAACTGTAGAAGCCAACAGTTTCAGGTGGCCTATGACTGGGATTCGGGTGTCGTGATGACATCTGCTTCCATTTCTTTACGAATATGTTGTTATTTTCCCCTGTTGGTTTTGAAAGGAATCAACCACTACGTACTGGATATGTTTTCATTTTTTTCAGGGGTATGGGTCAAAATTACACCACCAGGAATCGGACCGCAGGTTCTAGTCCTTGGTTCGATTTACCAGCGCAACCCATTTTGGGTACCTATGTTTGACCCGCAGCCATATCTGGCAAATGGGGCACCAAAGGGCCGAGTCCGATTTGGCCATTTGGGCTGGTTCAACCAAGGCTTATTTTGGTCGGCCCAGATTTCTGAATTTGACAAAACTCACTTCCTGAGTTCATGAACTTTAAACTTTTTGGGTTTGGACCATTTTAGTGGTAAATTTAAAGTTTGGACTGTTTTTGGGCCATCCACTCAGCCAGTGAGAAAAAATGGAGACAGGTGATCTTGACGCAGATGGTGTCTGACTACTGCAAGTACGACCTCGGTGCGGAAACGATGGCCTCTTGCAGCTACCACGACATCGCTTACTGGTCCAGCGTGCCAGAAAGTCTCCCGGCACACTCCATGAAGTCGGGAGAGTCGTGCGGATCTCCGCCCTCTTTATTCACGATTTGGGTGGGGACCCCCTTAAGTACCAGGCGTTGAACAATCCGCAAATCGCACCACTTGGTGTGCATGAAGATGAAGCCCTATACATGGGCTAAACCGCCTAAAAAGCTGGTGCAGGATTTGGATTTTATGATTTTATCCCGTTTCCATGGGCTCCTATCCAAGGAAAATGGGTCGAGAATGAGAAATTTCCACCCTTCAAGTTGTACGCAAGGTCCCCTTTGGAACGAGGCCACAAGCACTGGGGCTGAGATTTTAAATCGATCCTTCTTGCGATTGACTTCTGCTTGCGCCTTTCGGGAACTTGGCCACTTTTGCACTGCGGAGGGTGAACGGGTGAACGAGCATTCTATCGTGGATGCATGATGACGATGATGGTGATGATGATGATGATGATGATGATGATGATGATGATGATGATGATGATGATGATGATGGATGATTTATGATTGATGATTGATGATGATGCTGGCGGTGGCGGTTGTGGTGGTGTGCCGCTTGCGGCTGAATGCTGCTTTTCGAGATGTTGGAGATCGCAGTCGCATGGTCGGTGCAAGCTTGTGACCCCAAGCCGTATCAAGCACGCAGAGGATCAATTTGGTGGGTGTTCGGGTGCTGGTCGAGTTGGGTCCGGGTGTTTGTCGGCGTTGTCGTTTTTGTTGTTCGGGTGAGCTTGTTTTTTTTTGGAAAAGGGTAGCCTCCCCCAAACTAGCATGGAAGTGCACAAACCTCCTTTCCAAGAGGAAAGTAATTTTTCTACAGGGGTCTGTGCACTTCCATGTTAGTCGGTGGGAGGGGGTCCTCGGCGGGGGCTTGGTCTCAAGACACTGTTTTGAGCCGCCTTATTGAGCCTAAAATCCCCCGAAACCCCTCTCAAGTCCTCAAGATTCGTCTGCCCCAGGTATGCTGACCCTCTTCTTGTCCATCTCGGGAGGCCTCAGCTGGGTGGATGCGCTGCTGCCTTTGCGCCAGATCGGGCCACTGGCGGTGGGAAGCATGCTGCTGCCCCTTGCATCACCACTTTTCATCGAATGAGCCCTATATAGCTGTGGTCAAAGCCGTTTTGGGATCCCATTTTGGTTGGTGGGTGAATTCACCACCCATTTTAACCTATTTTTGTGGTTGGATTGGGATGTACGGGCTTTTGAACCATGGCTATATAAGGCTTATGAGGGCGTTTAAGGATCTTGAGCTACTTGGGTATGGGTCAAAATTAAACCACCAGGGGACCACTGGTTTTAGTCCAGCTTTCCATTTACCAGGGTGCCTATTGTTGACCCACAGCCACTTTGACCCTTTTAACCTCTCGAAGACCCTTCTCAAAATGCATTGACACTTTGGGAAGTTCTGCTCGTGTTAGATGCATGGCTGGTGGGTGACACTGCTTGCAGTGAGCTTCAGCGGTGTGAATATTGCAGAACATGTGAATGTGACATGCAAAGCACCAACCGAGGTACGTTGTGCTGACCATTTTTGCGATTTTGAACGTTGTGACGGGCGTGTTTTGTACTCTGCTCAGAAGCACTGATCCGATTGTGCGATCATGATGTGCTTGCATCCTTCACCAAGACCGTGTGATTTGAGTGGGTCGACTTGTTTTGGCTCAGGCAACAACGCGATCGAAAGTGCGCAGAGTGACAAGGACGAGCTTCTCGCAAATGTGTCGAGACTAAGCTACCGGGTTTTCCGCTGCAAGTTTGCTTGACTCTCCGGGTTTATTGCAGCTGGCCAATCGCCCAAGGTGCGCCGAAAGCCCGGATGGTGTTGACAAAACCATCCTGGTCCGATGGGGGAATGAGTTGAAATCATGAACCGTCCAGAACCTCGGCTTTGTTGCCACAGATGGGGGTTTATTACAGTATTACCAGGGCCATCTATTTTTTCCAAAGAACCACCTATGCTAGGGATCCACTTAAGGAGGTCATTTTTCTTGCACCGGCGCTCGATCGAGCCCTTTTCAGGACATCGCCATCATGAAGCAGATGCACAAGCACGAGTCCCAGGCCAGGTGTTTTTTTTCTTCTTTTCCCCCAACAGCTGAAAGCTTTGGGGTCTCAGCCCAGATAGGCTCCGGGGTGGTCCGGGGCGGCCTTGAGGTAAGGTTCCACGAGGGTTCCACCAGGGTTCCACCAGGGTTGCACTAGCGTTCCAGAATGTTTGCGAGGGCTGTTTGGGTTCCACCAATTTCTTCGAGGGCTGCGGGGTGGTCTGGGGTGGTTTGAGGAAGGTTCCACGAGGGTTCCACCAGGGTTGCACCAGGCTTCCAACAGGGTTCTTTTAGATGTCCACCAATTTCTTCAAGGGCTGCGGGGCCAGGGGTGGTTTGAGGCAGGTTCCACGAGGATTCCACCAGGGTTCCACCAGGGTTCCACCAGCGGCTGCACGAATTTTCCACCAGGGTTCCACCAACCAGGGTTCCACCAGGTTTGGCGAGGGCTGCGGAGTGGTCCGTGGTTGAGGTAAGTTTCCTCGAGCGTTCCATCAGGGTTCCACCTGCGAAGTGGTCCGGGGTGGTTTGAGGTAAGGCTAGGGTTTCAGGGTTTCACGAGGTTCTGCGAGGGCTGTAGGATGGTCCCCTCAGGTTTCACAAAGTTCTACAGAATTCCGCAAGGATTGCACAAGGGTTCCACCAGGCTCCACAAGGTTCCACAAGGTTCCACAAGGTTCCACAAGGGTTCCAGAAATGTTCTGCAAGGTTCCGTGGTTTGCCTTGGAGGGAAGCAGTGTGTCGTGCGCCCGCCGTCTGAAAAGCCATCGGATTTTTGAGGGCTCAGAAGATCGCTTTGCCCATGGGCGGAACACTAAGCAAAACGGAAACCAATGGTTTTTAGCACACGTTCACTGTTTTGTCACTTGCTCACTTGCTCAGGCAACGCGGCCCGAAATGTTGGCTTTGTGGCAAATCAGATCACGTTGCTGCGGCACTCACGGTGCAGCAGAGTAAATGCTTGGCGTTGCTGAGTAATAGTTGGTGGGCTTTGGGTTCCAAGGATGGCTATGGGGTAAGGTTCCAAAAACGCTCCACAAGGTTTCCACCAGGTTCTGCAAAAGCTATGGGGCAGCATTGAGGAAAGGTTCCAACAAAGTTTCACGCTGAGTTCCACGAGGTTCCACGAGGACGGTTTGCAAGGTTCAACGGGCCCAGGTCGGGGCCCGATTGCACCGTCGGGGCCCGATTGCACCGTCGGGGCCTGATCGGCCCCGATTGCGTTACCGCCGCGCCCTGATCAGGGCCCGACTCAGTCGGGCCCCGTCAACTGTATCGCCTAGATCAGATTTGCTAAATACAGTTGTAAGGCCGCATCCTAAAAAAAACCGGCGTTGAGCTATATATATATATATATTTATATATATATATATATATATATAGCTGGGGTTGCACCACGGGACCATCAAACCCCGATCGGGCCCCGCTTGCACCGTCGGCCCCGATCAGACCCTGATTGCACCGTCGGTCCCCGATTGCGCCGTCGCGCCCCGACCAGGGGGCGATTGCGCTGTCACTCTTAGCTTTGCTTTATAAAATTACAAGGCGGCATCCTCAGCAACACCGGCGGTGAGGTGGGTCCTGGGGCGTTCCGCGAGGATTCTGGGAGGGTGTGGTGCTGTTGGGGATATCGCCTGAGCTTTATTTTCATCTCCGGGTCTCATTTGTCTGTGGTTGTCAAAACCGTTTTGGACCATTTTGGGGCAGGTGAATTCACCACCCATAGAACCTATTTTATTGGGGATTGGCATGTTCACTGGGGTACGGGATTTTGACCGTCTCATTGGAGCTGCAATCAAAACCCGGATAGATGAAGGTTAGTAAGGGATAATCCCAACCATAAATAGCTGCGGATATCCGCCTTCTTAAGTCTTGAAGCATGGTTCTGGGTCGACCATTGTAATACCGGCTTTTGATTGTGACTCATTTGATCTTTCGGAGAGCTTGTTTTGTTCCTTCGAGCCGAGGAAGTGATACCTAGAGTCAAAAAATGGGGTCATTACCCAAAACACCCCGGGTCATGGGGCAATTTTTCAAGGGTCACGGAGACTCCTACTGATGTGTTGGGATGGGGCCCCGGTCGCAAAGCTTTGGACGGGAGGTGATGGCCGGGGCCACGGGATGCTATGGCCCGAAGGCGGCTGGTTTTTTTGGTTGTTTTCATTGTTTTATGTCCTTTTGTTTTCCTGGTTTTTTTTTGAGGGGGCCGGGCGCCGGGAATCGGAAGACAGGGCAAGATTTTTGTTACACCCGAACGGACCCGAATAGGAGGTTCAAGGTTTTCTCTTGGTGTATGCCAAACTGGGGGTGTGGTGGGCATCATGTAGGCGAGGACCAAATGTCCGCCAGCCAATGGTTCCAACTCTTAATTTGTGTAGCCAACCTAACCCAAGCAACCAACAATCCAAGAGGATCACTCCAACCATCCAACCCAACAACCCCTAGCCCATCCCAAAGGGGATCAAAACAACCCAACCCAACCAACAAACCAACCAAAGCGTGAAACGGTTTCTGCTCGTCTCGCAGGTCCGCGCGCTCGGGGAGATCTTTGCAGAGATCGACGAGGATGCCTCGGAAAGAATCACGATACGGGAGCTGAAGGCGCGGGAAAGGGAAGACATGGTTTGTCTTACCGGGTCCAAGTACCTTCTGAGGAGGTACTTAGACCCCTTTTTACCTCTCAAAAGCCATCCTCATGAGGTACTTCTCTGTCTTACAAGAAACGGGTCCACATACCCAAATGAAGCCTTACTTTCAACTCGGCAATCCCGAATCCTTACCTTGGCGTTATGCAAGGGGTGCCCTTTGTGGTTTCCCGCCATGATGAAGGATTGGCCAAGCCCTCCATTGTACAGCCCAGTGTTGGAAGCTCCGTCAAAGGAGAAGACAAAAAACGCAAGCCATTGTCGAGGCTGATGTGTTGAGCTAGACGCTGAAGGGAGCCCTCAGGAATGGAGAACGCAAGCGTTTCCCTAGAGCAGCGGACTGCGCGTCTGGGCGACCAACTTGTTGGCAGTTTCAAGGCAAGCCGAAGGGAAGTTCAGGAGTTAGCATGTTTAGAGACAGATTGAGCATAGGTGTCCTTGGTCGGTTTGAAACTTTCTAGATGGAGTCTGTTTTTTTCAGTTCTTTTTGTTTACTACCAGCATCGATGTGTCCAACACGACGGGGTGAGCGGATATTTGGTTCCCAGCCATACTACCCTCAAAATGTTAGGATGAAAACAATATATAACCTCCAGCACCCTCCAAGGGTGGTCCATTTGTACCAGCAGTGCTCTTGTGTGAGCCATTTTGGGTATAATGGACCCCTTCGGGTGCTGGTTTATATATTTAGCGAGGGGATATTTTGCCAAGCCACGGCTGTTGCGGAGTTCGTGTGATGTTTTATCTTTGGACTTGCCCGTTCACGTGGTACCGATGTTGCCCTGGGCTGATCATTGTTTGCAAAAAGCACAGGCCCGTTAAGATGAAACAGGGGTTTTGCATAAATGGAGCCGAAACAAGGCTCATGATCAAATGGCCAAATTTGCCATGTCTCTGAGGAGCCATGAAAAGCAATGAGCTGTTTCTAGTGGTTGCTCACAGCTTTTGGGGGGTTGGGAGTTATGCCGTTATGCCATAGTCCAACAAATGTTTCACTTTTGGGGGATCCGCGAACCGCCAAGAACGGCATCCTGAGAAGTCCTCGTCTCAGGCCCATTTTTGAAGACGCTCTCAGAGTTACCCTCTCGCATTTTGGGTTGCAGGAAAGCCACCCCAAAATAATGTTGAGAGCCGATCAAAATGGAACAAACCTCTTTTTCAGCAATCCGGCAACCAACCATTTGACATGTTTCAGAATACAAACCCCAACGAAAGGAATACCCTGAACTAGAAGCCCCGAAAGGGACCCTTGCATATATGAGAGCTCACCCGCAAAAGACCCAAAAAATCACCGGATCCACTTGCTCGAGAACATGTATGTCATTTTCATTGGTTTTAACGGGAAACTATGACCACCGGATATTCTTTAGTTGTTTGTTGTTGTTGTTTTCTTCCAGGGGACCAGAATTTTTCCCCCGTTTCCCCCCCGAAATGTTAGGGGTCCCTTCCGATTCTAGTCGCAGGAAGCCTTGAACGGCGACAAGATGTCCAACTTTTTGAAGTCCATGGACATTTCCACCGAGGACGTGTGGACGCTCTTCATGCCCCTCGATGGAACGATGGAAGCCGAGGTGTAACGATGGGTCGCTTTCTGGGTAGGTGTGTCGAGTTGCTCTTTGTTGGGGGGACCCCCGAAATAGCGCCTTTCGGTGTCCTTTTGGGTGGTTTCCATTTACCACCAAAAGAGCGGGACCTGGACCCTCAAACTACTCACTCGTCAACAAGGGAAGGTCACCCAGAATATCTAATTTTGGGGCTACAACCAATTTGTTTAAGGGAATTAGGTGGGTTCATGCACGTAGCTGACCAGAGAGCCTCAAAGGGTTCCTCTCTGCTCCGGGTTGTCGGGTTGTCCCGAAAGGGTTTTTGGGGTTTGAAGATACACTCCCTCAGACTAACATGGAAGCTCCCAGAAGGCCTTTGTGAATGGAACCAACCTAGATAGCCAAGTTGCGATCGCTTGCTTCAGTCACTGTTGCTGGTTTTTGGGGTAAGGTGCATGGAAAAAAGCAGCAACTCCAGGAAGTCTTTCAAAGGGGTCCGTTCGGGAGTGTCCATGGAATCGTCTGTTTTTGCCGTACTTTTTTCGGAGAAGCATTGCCCTACCAAACAGCTTTGGGAGGGCGCGAGGGTTTCCCCTTCAAGTCTTAAGATCCGAGCGCCGCGTGGCAGGGATTTGGTCCAGGTGTTGTGTCGCTGGTTGCCGCCAGGCCCTTGAAAAGGTGCAACTCGTTCGGGGGGCGCGTGTTCTTCCTTCTTTTTCCCGGGTAGAGTTGACCAGCGGGACATTTTCATGAGGAAACACCGGAAACGAAAAAAGCAGCTCAACTTGCTCAACTTCAAGCCTGGGGCATATTTGAGCAACCCCCCCCCCCCCGCGTGCCTAGGATGTGAAGCCTGAAAGCGAGGTGCCCCGCAACAAGGGGCTTTAGACAAAAGGTTCCTATTGGAGCCAATAAGCCAGAATCTTTCAGCTCAAACGGAACTGATCTGAGGGTCATCGACAGCAACGCCGACGGTGAGATCTCAGCAGACGAGTTTGTTCCCGGACTGACATTTCCGCAAGTGTTCCCTGGGAATTATCATAGAATGCCGCGCCAAGCAATCCGCATCCATGTCTGGTTGAAAGTGGGCCATTCAAACATATTCCCTAAGAGCTGGATTCCCAGTCCGAAAGCCATCCAAAAGGGGGTCATGTGTTAAGGAATCGCAGAGGAGTTGCTTGTTTGGTGTTGCTTCTTTTGCATCTTCAGACTGAACCTTCCCTTTCAACCAGCAAACAGCTTCACTTGCACGTTCGCTCGGGGAAGTCAAAGGGACCAAGTTCGCTTTCTCAGGCACAAAAGGATCACCAGTGGGCAAAGAACCCGGAGTTGGCACACGCCTTTATTTGGTGGTAGAGTTGGAACCCCCCCCATGTTTGGGCTGGTTGAGCTGACAAACCTTTGCATTTGCTGGTTAAGTGGGCAAGGCCCTTCTGGCTTGCTTGACTTGGCACGCCCGGTTCTGGTTGGTTGAGTTGGCAAGGCCCCTTTTGGCTGGTTGACTGGCAAGCCCCTGTTGGTTGGTTGAATTGGCAAACCCGTGTGGGTTGGTGGAGTTAACAGGCCCCTGTCGGTTGGTTGACTTGGCAAACCTGTTTTGGTTGGTTGAGTTGGCGAGCCACGTTCTGGGTTGGTTGAGCTAACAGGCCCCTGTTGGTTGGTTGGCTTGGTAAACCCGTCTTGGTTGGTTGAGTTGGCGAGCCCCGTTTTGGGTTGGTTGAGTTAACAGGCCCCTGTTGTTTGTTGGTTGAGATAACAGGCCCCTGTTGGTTGGTTCACTTGGCAAATCCGTTTTGGTTGCTTGAGTTGGCAAGCCCTGTTTTGGGTTGGTTAAGTTAACAGGCCCCTGTTGGTTGGTTGACTTGGCAAGCCCGTTTTGGTTGGTTGAGTTGACGAGGCCCTTGTTGGTTGGTTGACTTGGCAAGCCCGTTTTGCTTAATTGAGTTAGCGAGCCCTGTTTTGGGTTGGTTGAGTTAACAGGCCCCTGTCGGTTGGTTGACTTGGCAAACCTGTTTTGGTTGGTTGAGTTGGCGAGCCCTGTTTTGGGTTTGTTGAGTTAACAGGCCCCTGTCGGTTGGTGAACTTGGCAAACCCATTTTGGTTGGTTGAGTTGGCGAGCCCCGTTTTGGGTTGGTTTAGTTAACAGGCCCCTGTCGGTTGGTGAACTTGGCAAATCCATTTTGGTTGGTTGAGTTGGCGAGCCCCGTTTTGGGATTGAGTTAACAGGCCCCTGTCGGTTGGTGAACTTGGCAAGCCCATTTTGGTTGGCTGACTTGGCGAGCCCCGTTTTGGGTTGGTTGAGTTAACAGGCCCGTTTTAGTTCGTTGGTTGACTTTGGGAGTTGACAGGCTCCAGTTGGTTGGTTGACTTGGCAAACCCGTTTTAGTTGGTTGAGTTGGCGAGCCCCGTTTTGGGTTGGTTGAGTTAACAGGCCCCTGTTGGTTGGTTGACTTGGCAAACCCGTTTTGGTTGGCTGAGTTGGCGAGCCCCTTTTTGGGTTGGTTGAGCTAACAGGCCCGTTTTAGTTGGTTGGTTGACTTTGGGAGTTGACAGGCTCCAGTTGGTTGGTTGACTTGGCAAACCCGTTTTAGTTGGTTGAGTTGGCGAGCCCCGTTTTGGGTTGGTTGAGTTAACAGGCCCCTGTTAATTGGTTCACTTGGCAAGCCCGTTTTGGTTGGTTGAGTTGGCGAGCCCCGTTTTTTGGGCTGGTTGAGTTAACAGGCCCCTGTTGGTTTGTTGACTTGGCAAACCCGTTTTGGTTGGTTGAGTTGGCGAGCCCGGTTTTGGGTTGGTTGAGTTAGCAGGCCCCTGTCGGTTGGTTAACTTGGCAAACCCGTTTTGGTTGGTTGAGTTGGCGAGCCCTGTTTTGGGTTGGTTGAGTTAACAGGCCCCTGTTGGTTGGTGAACTTGGCAAACCAGTTTTGGTTGGTTGAGTTAACAGGCCCCTGTTGTTTGTTGGTTGAGTTGGAAAACCCGTCTTGGTTGGTTGACTTGGCAACCCCCGTTTTGGTTGGTTTGGGGTTGGTTGAGTTAACAGGCCCCTGTTGGTTGGTTGACTTGGCAAACCCGTTTTAGTTGGTTGAGTTGGCGAGCCCTGTTTTGGGTTGGTTGAGTTAACAGGCCCCTGTTGGTTGGTGAACTTGGCAAACCAGTTTTGGTTGGTTGAGTTAACAGGCCCCTGTTGTTTGTTGGTTGAGTTGGAAAACCCGTCTTGGTTGGTTGACTTGGCAAACCCCGTTTTGGTTGGTTTGGGGTTGGTTGAGTTAACAGGCCCCTGTTGGTTGGTTGACTTGGCAAACCCGTTTTAGTTGGTTGAGTTGGCGAGCCCCGTTTTGGGTTGGTTGAGTTAACAGGCCCCTGTCGGTTGGTTAACTTGGCAAACCCGTTTTGGTTGGTTGAGTTGGCGAGCCCTGTTTTGGGTTGGTTGAGTTAACAGGCCCGTGAACTTGGCAAACCAGTTTTGGTTGGTTGAGTTAACAGGCCCCTGTTGTTTGTTGGTTGAGTTGGCAAATCCGTTTTGGTTGGTTGAGTTGGCGAGCCTCGTTTTGGGTTGGTTGAGTTAACAGGCCCCTGTTGGTTGGTTGCCTTGGCAAGCCCGTTTTGGTTGTTGGCGAGCCCCGTTTTGGGTTGGTTGAGTTAACAGTCCCCTGTTGGTTGGTTGACTTGGCAGCCCCATTTTGGTTGGGTGAGTTGGCGAGCCCCGTTTTGGGTTGGTTGAGTTAACAGGCCCCTGTCGGTTGGTGAACTTGGCAAGCCCGTTTTGGTTGGTTGACTTGGCGAGCCCCGTTTTGGGTTGGTTGACTTGGCGAGCCCCGTTTTGGGTTGGTTGAGTCAACAGGCCCCTGTTGGTTGGTTGACTTGGCAAACCCGTTTTGGTTGGTTGACTTGGCGTGCCCCGTTTTGGGTTGGTTGAGTCAACAGGCCCCTGTTGGTTGGTTGACTTGGCAAACCCGTTTTGGTTGGTTGACTTGGCGACCCGTTTTGGTTGGTTGACTTGGCGAGCCCCGTTTTGGGTTGGTTGAGTCAACAGGCCCCTGTTGGTTGGTTGACTTGGCAAACCCGTTTTGGTTGGTTGACTTGGCGAGCCCCGTTTTGGGTTGGTTGAGTCAACAGGCCCCTGTTGGTTGGTTGACTTGGCGAGCCCCGTTTTGGGTTGGTTGAGTCAACAGGCCCCTGTTGGTTGGTTGACTTGGCGAGCCCCGTTTTGGGTTGGTTGAGTCAACAGGCCCCTGTTGGTTGGTTGACTTGGCGAGCCCCGTTTTGGGTTGGTTGAGTCAACAGGCCCCTGTTGGTTGGTTGACTTGGCGAGCCCCGTTTTGGGTTGGTTTGGGTTGGTTGAGTCAACAGGCCCCTGTTGGTTGGTTGACTTGGCGAGCCCCGTTTTGGGTTGGTTGAGTCAACAGGCCCCTGTTGGTTGGTTGACTTGGCGAGCCCCGTTTTGGGTTGGTTGAGTCAACAGGCCCCTGTTGGTTGGTTGACTTGGCGAGCCCCGTTTTGGGTTGGTTGAGTCAACAGGCCCCTGTTGGTTGGTTGACTTGATTGGTTGAGTGGCAACAGGCCCCTGTTGGTTGGTTGACTTGGCGAGCCCCGTTTTGGGTTGGTTGAGAGTTGAAGCCCCGTTTTGGGTTGGTTGAGTCAACGGGCCCCTGTTGGTTGGTTGACTTGGCGAGCCCCGTTTTGGGTTGGTTGAGTCAACAGGCCCCTGTGGTTGGTTGACTTGGCGAGCCCCGTTTTGGGTTGGTTGAGTCAACAGGCCCGGTTGGTTGACTTGGCGAGGCCCCGTTGACTTGGCGAGCCCCGTTTTGGGTTGGTTGAGTCAACAGGCCCCTGTTGGTTGGTTGACTTGGCGAGCCCCAGGCCCCTGTTGGTTGGTTGACTTGGCGAGCCCCGTTTTGGGTTGGTTGAGTCAACAGGCCCCTGTTGGTTGGTTGACTTGGCGAGCCCCGTTTTGGGTTGGTTGAGTCAACAGGCCCCTGTTGGTTGGTTGACTTGGCGAGCCCCAGGCCCCTGTTGGTTGGTTGACTTGGCGAGCCCCGTTTTGGGTTGGTTGAGTCAACAGGCCCCTGTTGGTTGGTTGACTTGGCGAGCCCCGTTTTGGGTTGGTTGAGTCAACAGGCCCCTGTTGGTTGGTTGACTTGGCGAGCCCCGTTTTGGGTTGGTTGAGTCAACAGGCCCCTGTTGGTTGGTTGACTTGGCGAGCCCCGTTTTGGGTTGGTTGAGTCAACAGGCCCCTGTTGGTTGGTTGACTTGGCGAGCCCCGTTTTGGGTTGGTTGAGTCAACAGGCCCCTGTTGGTTGGTTGACTTGGCGAGCCCCGTTTTGGTTGGTTGAGTCAACAGGCCCCTGTTGGTTGGTTGACTTGGCGAGCCCCGTTTTGGTTGGTTGGCCCGTTTCGGGCTCGCCTCAGGTCTATGCGTGTCAGCAGCTTCAAGGCCCGGCCAAGGGTCTGCAGATGGCGCGGATGAGCTTTGAGAACACCGTCATGAGAGAGGAGGCGGGAGCGTTGTTTGCTTTGATGCTTTGTTGGATGCGTTGTTTGCTTTGGTGTGGTGTGAGTGTCTGTTTGCTTGCTTGTGTGGGTGTATCTTTATCCATGTATGTTGTTGCTTTACTTGTTTTATTGCTTTAATTATGTATTCCGTCATTCAATCGTTTGTTTGTTCATTCATTCGTTCGTTCATTTATCCATCCATTCATCCGTTTGTTCGTTCATTCATTTGTTTGTTGTTTTGTTTGCTCATTCATGTATTTCTCATTCATTAATTCATTCATTCATGTCATGTCGTGTCATGTCATGTCATGTTATTCATTTCATTCATTCAGTCAGTCAGTCAGTCAGGCAGCCAGGCAGCCAGCCAGCCAGCCAGCCAGCCAGCCAGCCAGCCAGCCACCCAGCCAGCCAGCCAGCCAGCCAGCCAGCCAGTCAGTCAGTCAGTCAGTCAGTCAGTCAGTCAGTCAGTCAGTCAGTCAGTCAGTCAGTCAGTCCATCATGTATTCATTTATTTGTCTATTAATATATTTGTCTATTAATTTATTTTTCATTGATTCATTCATTCATTCATTCATTCAGTCAGTCAGTCAGTCAGTCAGTCAGTCAGTCAGTCAGTCAGTCAGTCATTCAGTCATTCAGTCATTCAGTCATTCAGTCATTCGTTCATTCATGTGTTCATTCCTTCCTTCCTTCCTTCCTTCCTTCCTTCCTTCCTTCCTTCCTTCCTTCCTTCCTTCCTTCCTTCCTTCCTTCCTTCCTTCCTTCCTTCCTTCCGTCATTTATTGATTTATTCATTCATTTCTTTAATTGTTTCATTTCATTCATTTCATTCATTTCGTTCATTTCATTCATTTCATGCATTTCATTCATTAACTCATTCATTAATTCATTCATTCATTCATTCATTCATTCATTCATTCATTCATTCATTCATTCATTCATTCATTCATTCATTCATTCATTCATTCATTCATTGATTCATTCATTCATTCATTCATTCATTCATTCATTCATTCATTCATTCATTCATTCATTCATTCATTCATTCATTCATTCATTCATTCATTCATTCATTCATTCATTCATTCATTCATTCATTCATTCATTCATTCATTCATTCATTCATTCATTCATTCATTCATTCATTCATTCATTCATTCATTCATTCAAGCGTTTATTTGTGTTTATGTACATATTTATGGGTAGTCACTTCCCTGTTGGATCCCATGATTGTCCTTTGCTGGGTTCCCGTATTCCCTTGGAGTTTGATACAAAGAACCCAGAAAACCGCGGGGGCTTACCGTAGAAAAAAAATATCAAACGCAGCACAAGAACACAACCGCAGCCAGCGTCCAAGGGCTGCTTATTGGACGACACTTGGGGGGTTAGTCGTAGGGTGCACTTAAGCATGTCAAACAAGTTGTTGATGAGTAGATAGCAACATCCAATGATAGGTGCGAGTTCATGTATCGGCAGGCATAAATGTGCTGTGAATGCAACTGCTTGGTTTGCTGCTAGTTGGACTGGATGCCTGAATTTGTGACTGGTGTTTGTCCGTGTGGTCCCGAATCACTGAGCTACACTGAGTGTGGCAATACGAAGACAGCCATAGCTACAGCTGTGGAAGGACAAAGCACGATCCGCTCCAGTGATGGATGAAACCCGATTTGAATACCGGTTGATCCCGCAAAAGCAATTCTACCATGCAGGATTTGTCCATCCACAGTGTAAGCATGCTACAACTAAACCTGGGTCTGAATTTTCATTAGGGACCCTTTGGTGGACATGTTTTTTAGGGGATCCATGTCCAAGGGGTTGCGACTAAGATTCACAGCTGAGACCGATTAGGTCAAGAAGCTCCAGAAGGACTTTGTTCGCTTCAAGAAGCAGGCAAAGGATCATTGGATCGGATCGGATTTTGGGTCTCATGACCATGGAAGGGACCGGGTAAAGGGAGGCATTTGTATAGCCTCCTGACCCGGTCCATTTTTTTTCTTGTATGGCCTCCCTTTGGTATAGCCTCCAATGTTCCTTCCGAAAAAGAAAATAAAAGGACCGGGAGTCCTGAAGGGTCAGGTTCCATGATAAATTCTGAGGGCGAGGGATCTCACAAATAAAAGATGGGTGGTTCTACTGGCATTTTCAAACCGGAAGAAAAGATCAATGGGTTATGGGGCACGCTCACTTGCCAAGTGCGAACATGACCGCAAGCATGTTTGCCAGGGGCTCGCGTGGATAGAGATGTGTCATCCACATGTCCACTATCTGGGGTGTGCTTTCTCCAACAAGAGGGTTTGGGCCGAACGGATTAAAGCACGTAAGGCCCATTTTTGGGGGTTCTGAGAACGTGCCCTGCCGAGATCGTCAAGGGCGCTTCCCCATCACCTACGTCATCACCGCCACGACTGGGCGGCGGTCCAAAGCCGCAGGTCTTCAAGTTCGACGTGCCCCGGTGACGTGACGAAGTGACACGCTTTATTGCTGGCCTCTCAGCCCACCCGTTTTGACCACAAAGAAAACAGGGGGCTCGGGCGCCATAGCGACAGGGCTCACTTGTGCGTGCACTGCACTCGAGATTCTGGGCTGGAAAGACCCCTCTATGGGTCTAGTCCAGCTGGCCTCATCAAACACAAGCATTCCTTACCCAAAGGCTCCTGGGGCTTTCAATAAAAGACCCGACCCCTCCATTGAATACCCCGGAGGTGGTTGGTTGTTTGAAGGCCCTACTTGTTTGAAGGAGCCTCTGGGTAGGAGGATTACGGCTTACTCACTTTTGCGTTGCCACGTTTTACGTCGCCATCACCTCTGCGGCTGGGCAAAGGCGCTCAAACCAAGCAGCCGGACCTGAGGAACTGACACCTTCCATTTGTTTAAGATATTTGTGATTTTCCCCTGTTGGTTTTAAAGGGAACCGATTTCACTACTGGAAATATGTTTTTCCCAGGGGGCTTAAGCAAATGGAAGACACGGTGAGAAAGCAGGGGGCTTGGACCCCGATTTTCCCACGTCCTTGCAGAAGCGAAAAGCTTTTGCCGAGGTTTTGCCGTGGCGCACTTGTCCAGATTCTGGGCTGGAAGAAGACCCCTTGTGGGTCTAGTCTAGCTGGCCTCATCAAGCACATGTTTTCCTTAGGAGGGTTTTGGCTTACTCACTTTTGCGTTGCCTGAACTTAGGATTGAGGTAGCCAGTGATTTGGTTTCCCAACTTTAGATGTGGCAGTCTCTCGAAACTGGGACGGGGCATTTTGGAAAGGGCAGAGCAGGGCGGACCTGGATATCTTAAGCATTTGTGTCTGCCCTTAGCCCGTGCTCTGGGCTGAAGCACGGTTCAAATGTGCTTGGGCCAAGTGGTGACTGGGGCATGTCAAAGGAGGAAAGAGGTTGCTGGGTCGTGTCAGGATAGCTCCCGGCTCGTTGGAGCATGTGCAGTAGTTTCCTGTGACGCATTTCCCTTGCGATAGGCCGAACAACGCAGGAAAAAAATTAAAAAGCCTGGCCAACCTGGCGCCCTTGCAAACAAGGATCCTAAAACGCAGCCAGTCGCCTCCCAGCCCCTTTTGCTGGCGCCGCAAAACAGAATCAGAAACCATTGACCACGCGGCGCCCGTGGGGGTTGATTAGCCCCCCCGCGCCAGGATGCCTATTGAGTTAAGGCATGAAATCGTCAGTTCGCTGCTGTCTCGTATTTCCTCAAGCGTTGCAAGTGGCAGCCATAAGGGAAAATGCTGCAGGAGGGTGGTTAAGAGGATTGGAAGACTTTGCCAGAAAACTATGAGGTGGTCGGCTATAGCATTGGTTCATCGCAACTGAACAGATTGAGGCTACAGGGGAACTGGATTGTTCCCCGTAGGGCGTCGCGGTTCTACACACGAAGCAAGCTCACATGCCATAGCTTTCGGCTTTTAGCCAAGAGGCTCTTTTGAACGCAGCCACCTGCGCGCACCGCTGGGAAGCAACCAAGAATCGCTACTTGCCAATGGTGTAACATTTTAGAGTCTAATGCAATCTCTAATGATTTGACCATCTACTTGAAGCTCAATCAACAGAAATGACTCAAGTTCTTACTAGGCATTGTTCAGGCAAGAACGCGCGCGTATGCGATATGTGAACTTGTTTATAAAGCTGTGCCTCAGTGCGTGTTTGTGCTTTGGTTTTTCGGAGCTCAGGTTGGGTCATGGGAGCGGGGAGGGGATATAAATGTCTGTGAGAATACACATATAATCGACTTGTAGGTTGTTTTAGTTTACGTGATTCAGACAAAAATAAACTGATCCATGTGTTTGTTTGCTGATTTGTTTGTTGTCGATTTATTGATTCATTGAGGAAGGTGTGGTTCTGACCCCGGCTTCATTTGGGGCATTTTTTTGGGGGCTCTCAAAGGGTCGAGACTTGTACGGATGGTTGTGGCATGCGCCTTTTGAAGGGGCTGTAGTAACCTCCTCCAATCGCGACTAACTTGGCGTGGAAGTACCCCATAGCCACCTGATTCGCCAGTTGCTTCTTTTTTCCCCATGCACTTTACCCCCAAAACCGATCGCGACAGTGACTGAAGCAAGCGATCGCACCTTGGCTATCTAGGCAGATTCTTATTTTTGTTTAGGCCCTTTCAGCATTGATGAGCCCAGCCTCGACGGAGACGGATGTAAGGCTTCCAGTTTGAGCGGAGCCATGTCTCTGAACTTTTTGAAGGCGGTGGTCCCATTCCACATGGCCGCCGTTTGGAACGCGATTTGAGATGCGCTTCGCTGCTAAGAGTAAACGCACTCAGACGAAACAAGCAAGCTCAGATAAAACAACAACTGCAACATCTTGCGGGGGTCCCTATCATTTCCCTTTTCGGACCGTTTGCATATCATCTTTTGGTTGCCGCTTTTAGACAAGCCCCCTCTCAATGTGATTCTTTCCTGGGGAAACGTAGGGAAGCGCCTGTCTCAGCATGCAGTGTACCGTTGATTCCAAGAGCTCGGGACCGGAGTATCTCGATCTGCAGAGGTGCGTCCAGAAACGGGGCCCCTGCGGAAGATCCATGATCTCCATCCCCGATGCCACTGAAGAGGCGATTCAGGCTTTGCCCACTCGCAAAAAGCAGTGGCAGTCGAAAGAATGTGGCTTGACGTTCTTGTCGGCGCCGGGCTTTACTGTGTTGGAATCAAAGGGGATGCCTTTCTCAGCTCGTGCTGGTTTGTTCTCTGCATGCTTCATTGCCTGTCAGAACACCATCGCAGGTTTATTGTGGATCAGGGCCAGGCAGTTTCCACATGATCATTCGGGTGGGTTTCAGGAGGCCTCATTCTCTTGTGATTGCAGCTCCTGCATTGAATTTGACGCGATCGGGTGACAACGTTTAAAGGCAATGCTGCCATGCGGGAATCTCCATTCACTCACTCGGGGAATTCGGGTCAACCGAAGTCTGGGCAAGACCTCCAGCCAGAGCAAAGGTAATGTTGTATGTTGTTTGTGCTTTTCACTTGCAGCAGCTAGCTCTTTGCTGCGTCAGCCAGGATTGGCGCTTGGGCCCAATTTCTCCTCTTGCGATGCGCGGAGCGCATCAACGATGGCACCACAAACTCATGGCGCCCTTCTGATCAGGGTGACTTGCCATGGCAGCCCAGGCAAAGCTGAGGCACGTCATCTTTGAGCCAGTCTTGAGTAGTGGCAACAACATTTCGAATGTTTAAGGAAACCCTGGCCTGCTTTGCTTGGCGCAAGATGTTGTTTTGGCTTCCTACTGTGTGCTTATGTTGTATGCTGCCCTTGCCCACAAGTATCTGGTTCTTGTGTGAGCGCCAGTTAAATGTTGCTGGACCATGTGAGAACAAGTCACCCAGACCTTTGAAGAGAGACGCTGCACCGGGTGCCAGTTGACACTTCGCAATCCATTCTCGACTCAGTCACCGAATTGTTTGTGATGCCATATGCCATGCGTCGCCTTCACTCACCCATTGGGGGAATTCGGGTTAACCGAAGTTTGGTTTTAGCAGGCTCCTTGACCTCGATGTCTAGCCGGAGCTAGGCACTTGCGTGGTTTTGTCCAGGATTGGCTAGGACCCAATTTCCCCCTTTTTGCGGCACGTGGTACGCATGGCGATGGCGGCTTGCCATATATAGTCCAGGCAAGAAGATTACGGCAAACTATCCTATTTGGCGAACAAAATAGATTGATATGTAAATATATTTCTATATAAATCAAATTGAATATCGATTATATATTTTAGAGCCTCCGATTTAATTCAGCGATATTATTATTGTTTTTGTTTTTCTCCTTATTTTTTATTTATTTCTTCTTTATGTATTTAATGTTTTTTTTTTTTTTTATGTTTGATTTTGTATTGTTATTTTAATTATATTTTATGTTTATTATTATTGTTTAATTTAATATATATATATATATATATGTTTATTTTTTTTAAACCATAGTAGTAATATTTGTTTGAATTATTTTGATATTAGAATTAATAAAAAAAAATGAAATATTATTTTATTGTTTATAATGTATTTGATTTTTTTTGTATGTATACATATATTTATTATTTATATTGTTTTAAGATGTTTTGGATATGGTACTTTGTTTTATATTTATTTTTTTATTATATTTTCTTATATTATTGATATATGTGTTTTTTAATTTTTGATATTGTTTTTTATATTATTTTTATTTATATGTTTGTTGTTTTTGTTATCTTCTTATTTATTTATTATATTGATTGTTTATTTTTTATCTTTATATTTTTGAATTTTTTATATTTATTCCCGATGATTTTTCAATATTTTCGCAAAAAGAATGTCTAAAACTATATATATGGTTTCTAGATTTTTGAAAAAAGGAAAAAGATTTGGCAAGGGGATTCGAGTTTCGGGGGTTATTATTTAATTATTTTTGGTGTTTGATATAAATCTGATTGGTAATGTTAGTTTTGTGTTAGTTTGCGTTAGCTCGGCACTAGGTCGGGGATGTTAGTTGATGTGGCAAATGAGATGTATATATATATAACCTTTTGTTCGGTCGTTCTTCGGGTTGGAGATATTGTTTGCTTGCAAAATCTTTCTCATACGGAGAATGGAAACAAAATTATGTGTTTTGATTTTGGGAAAAATATTGAATTTGCTATGAGATTTAGATATAAGCTTATAGAAAAAATGTATAGAATATGTATATATGATTTTATGAATATTTATATATAATTTTGCGAAAATATTATATTTGCCATGATATTTCTTCGTATCTCTTGCGAGCTTGCCATGTTTATTTTACCGAGAATATTATATCGATTGCGAAATTTATATTTAATTTATTTTTATAATTTAGGATTATTATAAAATGCCAAGCTAAATCGAAATTACCATCTAAATAAAATATATGTATTTTTTAATATAGAACATAATATAAATAAATTTTCAATTTCGTTATATATATCGTATTATATAACGAATTTTATTATTTATTCGGACTCGATTAAATTATTCTTAGGTTTGTGCGCGATTGTATTATTCTGTGTTCATGTAACTATTTGTTAGATACGATTTTGTAGAATATCGGGCAATATATACTAAAAGAATCTGTTAATTCAGCGGACATGGGCAAGAAAATTATGTGCGAAATACACATCTTCGAATATGTAAATAAAAAAGAAATAAAAAGAGAGAAGAAAGTAACAAACAAATAAAGAAAGAATTATGAAAAGATAAAGAGAGAGAAAGCAAAGAGAGAATGCAAACATAAACGAGATAAAGAAAAAGAAAGAGAGAGACAAAAAAAGAGAGAGAGAGGAAACATAGAGAGCGGCGAAATGAAAAGAGGAAGATTAAAGAGAGAGTTTTAAAAAGATGGGGAGGATACGAATCAGAGAGAAGGAGAGACGATAAAATACACGGGCGGAAAAGAAAAAAGAGAAAGAAACAGAAAAAGAGAGAA